AAAGATTAACTATTGCTAGTCTTATTATAATCTATCTATATTTTCAAAATCATTTCCACTGTCAACAATTGAACCAGCACATACCCTTTTACTTTATATATATATATATTAGAGATTTGGACATGCTAGACAGAAATACAAATCAGATCAGTACAAAAGCAATAAGGCCCTGTATGTAATATTCATTTAGGTCCCATTGAATGTGCCCAAATTTATCAAAACCCTTTTTTGTTTCAGACTGTGTGTGGAGATTTATTAGGCTTCAGCCAAGCAACAGCATGTGTTATTATAAATAAAGTTTCGAGGGCATTGAGTCATCTTTTACCACAATTTATAAAATTTCCAAATAATTTCCAATATGTTAAACAAAGATTTGAACAGTTGGGTAGATCCAGCCAACTACATGGCCTTAATAATATAATTGGAGCGATAGACTGTACTCATGTTAAAATAAGTAGACCTAGAGGAATTGTACACTCTGAAGCATACAGAAACAGGAAAGGATACTTTTCGATTAATGTCCAGGCCATTGTGGGTCCAGATTTTGAAATTTATGATCTTGTTACATGATGGCCTGGTAGCTCACATGATAGCCGGATATTCAGGAATAGCCGAATTCATGCACATTTGGCTAGTGGTCAATTGCAGGGAGTGCTAGTGGGTGACAGTGGATACCCATCCATGCCATTCATGTTAACACCCCTGTTGCAGCCTACAACACATGCAAAAAAAAATTATAATTATGTTCAAATAAAAACAAGAAACATCATAGAAAGGTTCTTTGGAATATGGAAGAAAAGATTCTCATGTCTGCAATTAGGATTGAGAAACAAACTGATTAATGTATGCAATATAATTGTAGCTTGTGCAGTACTTCACAACATAGGAATAAAAAGCAGTGACAATTACTTAGTCGAGGAAGAAGATGCAGAGCTTAATGAAGAAGCGCCATTGCAATCAGGTGCATCATCAGTTGCGGGTTTAGCATTTCGAGAATCTATTGTAGAAACATTTAATTAATTGTATAATTATAAAAAGTGAATGTATTTCTTTTTCTCTCCCCCACTTACTATACAAATTATAATTTTTTTTTATAATCTTAGTTGCTATATTAATGAGCGAGGAGAGGTCACAAACAAACCACCCTTGAGACCCCACCATCTTTGAGACATAATTTAGGAAAAGATATAAAATTCCCGACTATGTACCTTAATGACAGAATGGAATAATCTGCTCTTCTACTGGATATTATGTAATATCAATAATTTGTAATTGTATTTTCTATCATGCCTACTTAAATAAATGATCATAATTTTTTGTTGGCAGAATCAAAATAGTGATTTGATGAAATAAGATTTACTAGTTTAGTTTTTAATCATTTAATAGTTTTTTTAATAAATCTTTTCTAATTTTTAAAATTTCCAGCTCGATTTCATGTTTTTCTTTTTCATGTAGTATTTGTTGAGCAACTTTTTCTATTTCCTTTTTTAAAAGTTCTTTTTTCAAGTCTTCTACAGTTTCTTCTACTTTTGTTTTCTTGAGAACTGCAGCGGGAATTTGTTTTGCAGGCTCTTGAAGTGGCCAGCCCGGGAGAGAATGTGTGTTCTCTTCCCCAATAACTTCAATTTCATTTCTGTTCTTTTTATTTTTCCAATACATAGAATCATTATCATTTTCTTGATCTAAACCAAATTAATTGTCATTGGTTATAAAAATTATGAATGCTCGTAGTATAATATGATGTGACTTTAAATGACTATATAATTTACTTACCTAATTGGGAAGTACTGGGCTGGTTTACATCACTGTCTATTTCTATATTTATTGAAGGCATCACACTGGGGATTATTGCAAGGACCTGGCTATCTTGTGATCCTATAGCGGGAGGTGCAGGCCCACCACCAGTCCATTTTTTTTGGGCATCCAACGTTTTAGCGTCCCTTGCCTTAGTTTTTAGATTTTGCCACATTTTTTTAACTGCTACACTCGTCTAAACATAAAACAAATGATTTAATCGTGAGTTACTAACAGGTATCAAACTAACAACTCGTTATTTAAGTTTTATTACAATGTTTTTCTTTAACTTCGTTGACGTATTGATGTCAATCTGTTTTGTGTACCAAATAAATAAATGAACTAAACTAAACTTTTACTTACACACTGTGACACGTTAGGCGAGTTATTAAAATTACTAGAAATGTCCTCCCATGCCTCGTTCTTCTTTTTTTGTGTCGTACCGTCAGTC